AGGAATGCATAGTTTCTGGGGTGCTGTTTTGCTCGTGCAACTTCAGGGGCTCTTCATTTCAGCATGGGTTTTGTCCCTGCTGACTGCAGATGTGGCTGTTTCCTTTGCAGGTTAAGGAGAGAGGCCAGAAGAGAGATGACTGGTTGGGTGTGACTGCTGTGTTGTGACAGGTTGTCCTCTGAGAAGTCATGATTGAGGACATGTACAAAACCAAGCCATTATATGTGCTGTTTATATGGAAACAACACCTAAGATGTGGGCTGTCATTCAAAGCACTGATTACTTACACAGTGCTATAGTAAGTGGTGGTGGGTGCACTGAACAAGGCACCGGAGTAAATGTTTGTTTCAGAGCTTCAGAGAGCGTTGTCTCTATTTCCAGCCTGCTGTAAGAAAAGATTCCAGGCTATACACTGCCTAATGTGTGAGACTTCACTGCAGGCTGCTAGGAGCTCTTTGGTACTGACATCAGTATCAAAACCAATTTCTGAAACAGGCTGGTGACCTTTTCTTATTCCCTTTGCGCACAGCTGGAGCAAACATCAGTGCTTTGTGAAAGCATTTTTCATGGCTGCAGAAACCTCCAAAGGTCTCAGATGCTACCCCTGCTTTTCTGTGCTGTGAAGAGGATTTGAGGGCGCCTCTCAGCAGGTTGCACCGAGTGCTGTGCATGTAGCAGATGCTTTGCAGGGAAGACACAAGACATAGTTCCAGGGGATATAAACTGGTCTCTACTTCTGGGTGGCTGGCAAGTCCTGGGGCAAGTCACTCCCTGTGCCTCTGTCTGCAGGTGTGGTGTGGAGGTGTTGGGATGAAATCTCTTCAGGGTCACTGTAGATGGTGGAAGGGGAAGCTGTCCAGCTGTGCACCAACGTTTCTGCACTGCATGAACCACTGCAGGTGAGCTGGGGAAGGAGACGGCACTTTCCTTCCCTGCCACCTCCCCTTTTAACTGTGGCCTAAGGAGCAAGTGTCAGAGCACTCCTTGCAAGGCATGAGTGTGCTGCTGGTTCCAAAAGGCAGAGAGGCAGTGGGACCTTCCCCTTCTCTCACACCTCTTTGTGTTTTGTATTTTGTGGGAGACACCCAGTGGACATTGCTGTGGCACTGCTGAAATGACACCAAAAGGCACAGGTTTTGCAATGAGACAGAAGAAACAAGAACTTGCTTTTTACCCCCCCTTCCGCTGATTAAGTGGAAGAGAGAAAAGAGAATGGTCCATTCACAATTACAGAGAACAGTGAAAGAAAGGATTTGTTTTCCTTTTTGCATTTGCTGTTCATTTGCTAAAACCATGACAGTTTGTCACATTCATAATGACAGTTCCACCTATGGGCTTGTAAGCCATGTGCTTGTGCAGACTGATGGTCTGCATGTGCCAAGGACACAGTCTGTAAGTACCCATCACTTAGGTGTGAAAAGCTTTTATTTTTTATGCTTCTCTTGTGATCAGCCTGAAATTCAGCTGTCAATAACAACCAGAGTAGGGGCTGCATTTGAGTAGTGTGGTTCGATATGCTGCTGATAATAAGGACCATTGATTACAGCCCTGTGGAGCAACAGAACATTGTTTCCAGAATTTGTTTTTTATGCAAAATGAAAACAAATGTTTACAATTGTGCTTCCACTGTCACGGTTCAGCTTGATTATGTAGAGAGACTGTATATTCATCTTCTTCTCCCCTGTCTTCTGATGTGAACATGCGACCTATTTATTTTCCTCTTGTACATTTCTAAATGACACGTTGCTTTGCAGTGCTTACACCTGTGGGTCTGTTGTCAGGATGTGCTCCATTGTTTTGTGCTGTACATTTCTGTCTTTATCTGTCTCTTTTAAAATATGTCTGGTTAAAGATAATTTTACTGTCATCAATATGACATTCTAGGTGGTTTTTGTAGACAAAACGGGAAGTGGTACAACCTCTGGTTTCACAAATGAAGCAATTCAGAATGGGCTTGTTGCTGGGATTGGGCCCTGCACACAGCCCTGGCACCCCCAGAAAAACCCACCTTGCATTTGTTCTAAAAGCAGATTGCCTCAAATCCCACTGTGTCCCACAAATCTTCATGCACAAAACCAGTGTCCCCAGTTTCCTTTGGGAAATCGACTGTAGTACTTTTTTTTTCCTTTTTAAGGACTTTTTTTTTTTTTTGGGAAAAGCTCATCCCACACACTGACTGCTCCTGCTTTCTTTTGTCTTTCCCCTTCTCCCTCTTCCAGAGCAGGATGAGCGAGCAGCAGAGCTCAGCAGGGAGCAGAACGAGAAGACCATTCGCAGCACGCAGACGGCTCTCCGCAATTTCCGGGAGTTCCTCATCTCCAAGTACCCCTCTGAGACCCGGGAGATCTACGTCATCCCCTGCAAAGAGCTTGATGCCTACCTTGCTTCCTTCTTTGTGGATGCCAGGCAAAAGGATGGGTCTGAATACGAGCCAAACAGTCTAGCCAACTATCAGTGTGGGCTGGAGCGGTATCTCAAAGAGCACAGGTATGGGTACAGTATCACGAGAGATAAGGAGTTCAAGAGGTCCCAGGAAGCTCTTAAGCAAAA